AGAAATTCCTGCAAATGAAGAAGCTGCCTGATATTTTTTTACTCCCTGCTCTAAGTACCACTCCGTTACCCCCATGTCCAGCCCTGCCTCCTGTGTGTCTGCCACTGCGTCTCTCCATCAGCAGTTGTCTTGTTATGCCTTTTATCTGTCACTCTGTATGTCTCTACCACTGCCCACTGCTGTCTCTCTTACTGTCTCTCTCATGTCTCACTCTGTTTCTGGCCTTGGTGTCTCTCCCGTATGTCTCACTGTCTCTGATCTGTCTGGCCTCAGTGTCTCTCACCCGTTATGTTTCACGGTGTCTCTGTCTCTGTCTCCAGTCTCTCCCTCTCTCTGCCTGGCTCTCGGTCTTCTCCGTCTCTCTTCCCTCTGTCACACGCACACACACTGGCCATAAAAGGAAGCCGAGGCGATGGGCTGGCACAGCGCCAGGCCGGGGACCCGCGGGCAGCCTGGACGCCCTGCTCCCTGCCCGGCACGGGCTCCGAGGTTCCCGGCTGGTCGGGCGGGGGGCGCTGGGCGGGAGACAACCCAAAAAGGGCAGGCGCGGGCTCCTTCCTGCGGAATTCCCAGCGCCGCATACCAGTCCGGGGCTGCCCGCTCCCCCTGACTAAATATGGTGCCGAGCGGCCGCTGCGCGGCTGTGCGCGCGGGAGGGGCCCGCAAGCGAGAGCTCGGCATCGCAGATTTTCTTGATCCCTTCCCCGTCCTTCCAACATCAACCTCACCTGGTTTTCACGCCCCCCACCCCGCCCCTAAACACCTGAGCCCTTCCCCTCTGCTTGGCGCAGAGCCCCAGTCCCAAGTGGGTCCCAACTCCTTCCCACCAGAGGGGCTGGGGAGAAGGTTAGAGGAGTTGGAAGACCCTTGCCAGGCTCTGAGCTTGGCTCACGCCCAGTCTGATTCTACTAACCCTCCCCAGGTAACCAGTCAGGGGATGGTAGGAGCTTTATTAATACCCCCCATTTCGCAGGTGAGAAAACTAAGGTCCCAGAGTAGTGCCCCAGCTCTCACTGGGATTGGAGCCCACCTTTGCCATGATTCACCTCCAGATTCTAAAGGGAAATGCCCAGGAGAGTTGGCCTTGAGGCCCAGGACAGGTCTCCAAAGTTAGATGACTGAGTCTGAATCTGCCAGTGCCAGTTTCTAGCTGTGACCATGGGCAAGTAACTCGAACTCTCCATGCCTCAGCTGCTCTACCTGTAAAACGGGAAATACATCCGTTATTTGTGGCTGTTTGTAAACAGTCCTTGAGATGATCCATGTATAATAAACGTACTGCATTGCTTCCTGTTAGCTATGATGCTCAATAAACATGAAACCAAGTAGAGCTGCACCAGGCCTTGGGGACAACGGAGAGAGCCTGTCCTGTTGAGTGCCTGCCTGCAGGCTCCCAGTCCCCTCCACAGAGCTCTGCAGCTCAGACCCTCTTGGTCCCTTCCTCATTCTTCTAACATCAAGCTCACCTGGTTTTCACCCGCAAAAAACACCCAAGCCCGGCCCCCGGCCCTCAATGGGCCTAAATCGGAGTCAAAAAGAGACAGCAATTCAAGTTATGGGGAAGTTAGGGGTAAAGTTCTTCAAGAAATGATAAATGGGCTGCTTCCCCAAGTGCCTTTTAATGTCTAGACTGTAAAAGGAGTGGAAATTGTCCCTGCGTTAGCACAGAAACGCTGTGGAGCAGAGAATGGAAGGGGGGAAACTGACGTTGATCACCACCTTCCCAGCATGGAAAGGTAATGCAGGGCAGGCCGTCAGAATCTAACTTGCTGGGCTCAGAGTGAGAAGTGGCATTTTTAACACTGGCACTTTCAAAGGGGTTGCATCTGATTCTTTAAAGACCTTGGTAACCAGACTCTGACTTTTACTGCATTAGCCTACCTAATCCTTATAACAACCCTATCAAGTAGGTACTTAAAAAAAAATTTTTTTTTTCCATTCTGATGAGAAACCAGGTTTGGTGAGTTAAACAACCAGCCAAGGTAGCACAGCTAGTTGGTGGTGGAGCAGGAATTCCAACTCTACCTCTTTGATGAAAAGTCTGAGGTTTTTAAGTCATGGTCTGCTAAGCACCAGCCGGGCAGCTTCAAGACTCAGTGGACCTCTCTGAGTCTGCTTTCTCAAGCAAAAGCAGATGGTCAGAATCTTTGTCTCAGCTACCTACTGGGTTGTTAAATATAACATGTGAAGGCCTTAAATAAAGCATTTCGTACCTTGCTGGTACATTCCAGAAGTGCTCAGGGACAGTATGTGCACATAACAGTCATTCAATAAATATCTAACCAATGCAGAAGCTTGGATGTTTGAATTTTCAAAAGTGCATTGTTATAATTAAATCAGATGCCTCCATTTTATTTCTTGTGGCTCAAAAAGCCAGTTATTTTAAGACTGGGGGAAACAAACAGTTACTTTAAAAAAAATGTTATTTTCACTGAGACTGTCAAGTAGATTCCCTTGGCATGTCTTTTCTGTAAGGTGCCATGTAATGGGAGTTTCCATGAACTCATGGCACAAGATGGTGGAGGGGAAATTTCTCTTGTTTGGAGTCTTTTTTATCAAATAGCTTTGTATTTGCTACTGGTTTCAAAAAGGTCCAAAGTGTTATGGCCAGGCCACCCTGAACATGCCCTATCCCCTCTGATCTTGGAAGCTAAGCAGGGTCAGGCCTGGTGAGTACTTGGATGGGAGACCACTGAGGAAGACCAAGTGCTGTAGGCATAAAAAAAAAAAAGGCTCCAAAGTGTGAGTCTCTCTAGTTTTTAATATTATCAAAGATCGGGTCCAAACATGGTTTACTCTTGCATGTGCTTCACAATTTATTTAAAAGCATATCAGCCCTCGAGTCATCCAGTCCGAGTTCTGCACAGGACTCTGCCTCTCTGTGAGTAAAGGGACTTCATTCCCGACCACAAGAATGCTCAGCTCCAACTCCTGCACTAAAGCACTGGTTTCACTCATGATGGCCCCCACGCTTTTCCAGGTGAAAGGCTGTGCTGCACAGTAACCCGTAATGCTTTCCTTCATCACCAGTTTCCAACTCTGGTGTCTTAATAACTCTATCAGGAAGTGTCCCAAAATTCTCAATAAAAGTAGTTTCAGTTTCTCACAAATCTAAACTTATTCTTACCATATAATACAGCAAATTATGCTCCTTAGGATTTACACAAATGAACTGAAAACTTATATATATAACCTGCACATGGATGTTTATAGCAGCTTTATTCATAATTACCCAAAATTAGAAGCAACAAAGATGTCTCTCAGTAGGTAAATGGATAAACTGTGGCACATTCAGATCATGTAATAAATGAGCTATCAAATGAAGATGTAGAGGAACCTTAAATGCGTATGACTGAGAGAAGCCAGTCTGGAAAGGCTACCTACTGTATAATTCAAACTATAACACATTCTAGAAAAGGCAAAACTATGGAGACAGCAAAAAGACCAGAGGTTGGGCAGGAGGCAGTGAAATTCCTCTGTGTGACACCATAATGGCGGATACGCATCCTTATACAAGTTGTTCAAACCCATGAAATGTACAACACCAAGACTGTTCACAAGAATGAACCCTAATATCAACTGTGGGCTCAGGTGATGTATAGGTGTCAGTGTAGGTTCATCTGTTGTGACAAATGTACCTCTCTGGTGAGGGATGCTGATAATGGTGGGGGGTGGGGGGGACCTGTGTATGTGTGGAGATGGGGGATATGGGTAATCTCCGTATCTTCCTCTCAATTTTGCTGTGAACCTAAAACTGCTCTAAAAAATAAAGTCTATTTTTTTAAAAAAGGTAGTTTTACGTCACTTTTATTTAAAAAAAATAATGAAGACCACACAATCCTTGCAGAAGTTATTACAAAAATCAAATACCAAGAGGCTGGGAAGCATTGTCCCAAATGCCTTTAAAGGCATATTCTCACAAATGTTAATCCTTAGTGTACTCTTGGCTTTAGGTTAAAAGAACACATCAGATGTTACATAATCATACAGGCATGTGAGTCATATACAAATGTGTTCTTGCACATAATTATTAAGCTATTAGTTTATTCTACACAAACATATATGCTAAGTTTAAATTTGTCAACTTCAAAAGCTCCCTCTGCTCCTGCTGAGCTTTTAGACTGCCCAAGTTTTAAATTTCCGCTTTTCCTAAATTCCTCTTTAGTTCCAATTCCCACCCTGTTTTTCTGTAAATTAAGTTTTCTTCTAAAACTTCTCCTGCATTTCTAGAAGATAACTTCTCCCAACAACCCCATGAAAACCACCAGCAATGATGCACTAATTTAGTTTATGAGTTTATGAGAATAGTTTGATGGGTCCTCTGTATTTATATGTCCTTTCTTCTCTTGAATTTTTTAAATGTCTCAGCCCATGACTTTTTTAAACTAATGGATTATAAATTAATCCACTGTTCAAAAATCCTGAGTATAGAAATTTCTACTCGGAAGCTAAGCAGGGTCGGGCTTAGTTAGTACTTGGATGGGAGACCACCTAGGAAGACCAGGTGCTGTAGGCGTAAAAATTAAATAAAAAATAAGGGATTATAAGCTGACAAGGTCCTTGCAATCTGTGAAGTCAACCAAGGGTTGCCTCACGTAAAAAAAAAAAAAAAAAGAAATTTCTAGAGAGCAGATTTTCTCAGCCCAAGATCCTCCTTTGTTGATAATCATAAAAATCTCACGGTATTCTGCAAATAGGTATTTTTCTCTTTTCCAAATATAAAAATGTAATACTATGTTTTTGAACCACACATGGCGCCTCAGATGATACTGTCTCCCCAGAGACCAATACCACCAGTCCCTACCACTGCCACCCTAACAAGAGTAATTGTTCCAGGGTGAGACATACATCAGGAAAAGTTCCCCTCCCTCAACCTTATTCTATACCTTCAACAACTAGGTTGCTGGAGATCCTGAAAGAAGGCCTGGAGAACCATCTCCAATCATTCTTCTGGTTCTGGTAGACAACTTTGAAGAACAGTCATACAAACGCCCTTTGCATGAAGGTGAGTTGCTTTTTTTTTTTATTGAATGATACATCGCAAGTATAAAAGTTGCCTAGGTACAGACAAGTTAATAATGAATAACGCATACAAAAGCACTATGAACGACATGTGACATTCTGTTTAGCTTCTATTTTGATGATTTTATATCAGTATCCAAAATGCTAAACGCTAGCATTTTTTCTTAATCTAGTCCTGCATGATTGCAATTCCTGAGTGTCCACTGTCAAGTCCTCTGAGAAGACTTCGGATATTTATATTCCCACATAATTATAATGAGATACTATAGATTTCATTTAAAAAAATGGAAATAAGCTATTATAATACTTCATGTCTGTATATTTAATTTTAGCCTCTCAAAACTTTGACTTGTAAAGTATGGTTTAAGGGTATTTCTTTAATAATTTTCTGTATCTGGATAAAAATCCTTGGTTAAGGACTAAATACTGACTAGCACCAAATATAAAATCAAAAGTTTCAATAATTTCCAAAGGTAGCACAGAATCAATACCCTAAAGAGAATGCTAATTTTGCCAACTACAGCCTTTATCACTTTCCCTGTGGAAAATGTTTAAGCGAAATGTCACCATTGTACAGGAGCCCATGCAGTTTTGTTCTGAGTATACCTTGTGACTTTAGCCAATCAGGTGCTGTCTACTCTAAGTCGATTTTCAGTGAAATCAGTCTGTAGACTCCACGTTAAAAAATGTCTTAAAAATATCAAAATAGCATTTTAAAGATACTACTATTAAGACATTGTTATTTTTCTATCCCAAGAATAAAAATTGCCATTTAATAAGAGTTTCAGAGCCCAAATAAGTAGGGGTTGGCTCTTCCATAACTCATCTTGTAACTGCACAGCTGAAGGCCACATGGCGGTTAAACAATGACATCTTTTAGAAGGTACTTTCTGATATTTCTCCTAAAGCCTGTCTCTTCATGTTTATTCCACATTCATGTAATAAAATAAACTCTCTGTTTCACTTACAGCAAAATTAAAAGAATTAGTTCACCCTCTACCTTTTAAATAAATCTTCCAGTAGAAGCCAAAATGGTCTAAGGAAAGAAAAAGTACATTGTTACCTAGTTTAAAAGTTCAACTTCAGATAGTAATATAGATATTTAAATCTAATTATAAATGGTTATCTGAAACATAGCTTATCAAAAAAATCAAACTTTATAGAAATTATAGTTTTTTTCTGGCTGAAGTGTTCTTTTATGTTATTTAAAAACATGAATTTTCCTACAAACCCACATAATTCCAGCCTGAAGGAAATTTAATTAATATGCCATGTTAAAGAGCAGAGCACATGGCTATAAAGACCTGATTTTTTTTCTTGGAATGTACAGGGTACTAAAAAACCCTTCCATGTCTCACAAATATAAGGACCTTTAAAATACTTCCTAAAAACAATACGTTTTCTTTGAAGTCAAATCCAATAAACTAGATGACAGAGTTAGCTTTTATTCACAAATGCAGTAAAACATGAGGGACTAAATGTTTTGCAGAAACTCATTTCTACAAAGTATAAATATTAGTGATGCATTTTGGTAACTTTGAGAAAATAAATTAGTTATCTGATACATACAATTTTAAGATAAAAGATGCCCTTAATGGAAATGTCATCTTTTCACAGCTTGAGCAATGTGGAGATCTTCAACATCGGCGCTTCTCCTCTCTTCCTTTCTTGGGTGGCCATCTGTAATTAACAGAAACAAATGTCAATACTTATTCCAAGTTAAAGTAGGCAGCAGGCAGACATAGCTACAAATACTTCAGGATTTTACATATTTAATATTGTATGAGTTCTTTAGATAGTTTAGGACACTGAAAATAACTCACTATTTTTTAAACATGATTAAAGAAATCAGAGATGTTTAGTACTAGGGACTCACTCTAATTATTAAAAAATATTTGATCCATTTTTTAAGTGAATAGTGTCCCTCCTGGAGTAAACTTATGGAACACCAAAGCTCTTCAATTAAAAAAACAAACAAAAAAAAAAACAAAAAAACCTTTCTTCAAATAGCAATGCCTCCCAGCAGCACCCTCTTGTGGCAAGAAGAAAACTAGCACGGTTTATATCTTCCTACCAAAATCAGAAATCTAAGAAATTGTAGAAAAAGTTCTTCAGCCAAAAACAAAACAATAAAGCTCCATGAGAGTTCAGAAAAGCTCAGAGCCCCCGTGACCACCCACTGTGCTCCAGGTATAGTAAAGAAGGGGCCCTAGTCACTTCTGCTCAATTTCTTTCATCATGGAGCAGGGGTGGGGAAGGGTAGAAGACAGAAGTGTTCTATATTAAAAGAACCTGAGAGACTTAATACCTAATGTGACAAAAATGTAACACACAAACAAAATTTCTGAAAAAATGTGCACCCCTCCCAATTCCCCAAACACTTTTTACAATTGAAAAAACTTTTTTTTTTTTTTTTTATGCCTACAGCACCTGGCCTTCTTAGGTGGTCTCCCATCCAAGTACTAACCAGGCCCAACCCTGCTTAGCTTCCAAGATCAGACAAGATCGGGCACATTCAGGGTGGCATGGCCGTAGACTGAAAAAACTTTTTTTTAATGATAATTTTCATAACATAAGGAAAAGAATATAAATTTAGACACGTTGTTAAACATACAATTTTAGCACCAAAAATGCATACTGAATTTTCTAATTCTTAAGACAATTTGATTGTGCAATCCTATTAGTTCATTGCAGCTGGTCGTCCTTAGAAATAACGTAAAGTGCTAATATTACTATAGGTCTGGGTCACAGACATATAGATGAAAATTTATCTCCTTCAAACTTAGGTACCTTTGCTGGACAAAATTAACAATATCCTTAAGACACAACCATTTCAGGTTTTCTATAAAAACATTACTAAAAAATGAAGTATTTTATTCAAGTACTTCTTCATAGATGTGCATAAAGTTGAGCTGATAATGATTTTCTCTATTATAAAGTATTTGGCCTTTTATTTATAGCAAAAACTACTTTGCCTTCAATATTACAAGCACTAATATCAGCACTAATGAACTGGCTACCATTTCAAAGGTGTGGGTGATTTTATAACCCTCTTCATCGTTTCAGCACTTGGAAAGCTTTGATAAAAGAAGTGTTTTCACGTTGGCATGCTTTGGACTTATTTTCAAATGAAAGAGAATTTAAGCTTACTGTTTTATATTTCAGTGGATGAGCTTGTGTAGAGTGAAGGTATTACAATCTGAACAATTATTTTAACATTTTTATAACCTTTTCAGTGTTGTGAAATAAAACTTACACATCCTTCAGACGATAAGCTAGAGTTGAGAAAGTAAATGGAATGCTTAAACGAGTTACTGGAACATAATGCAATTTTTGGCTTACAATTCACAAGTCATTGCATGAAGGGGCCAAGACAATTTTTGATGATACAGAAAAATCATTTGCCAAGTCACTGTCTTTCTGGTGGTTGAGCAGTCATCCTCATTCCTGAGTCTTCCACAGAGTTCTCCACAAAGGAGGCGCCCTAAGCTTCACTGACTTGAACTCAGTCTCTGGTGTCTCTGGCACTTTATACAGAAAGGACCCAAAGTAACTAACGCACACTCCCATTTCCTCCACCCTCCCCACCCCAACCATCCATCTGCTAGCTAATCCATGACCTTCACCTCAGGGGACTCAGTTATGAAATACTCTATTACTTATAACTTACTTATTAGTCATTATGAATATTAAGGAGACTGATTATAAAAAGCTTACAAGTCACAGAAGTTATTTCTCAAGAGGCTATTTTTCCTCATGGGGCTGAAAATACAAATGTCATGGGTTTGGTGTGCTAACAAGTGTTAATGTGTACAAAATCCACTGGTAACAATAAAATACAGAAACTGATATTGTCACATATTCTTGGGAAGATAAAATGGTAAAAAAAAAAACAACTTTTTGGAGAACTGAACACTACTACTATTTTTTTAATACGCATAGGCTTTGAATTAGCAGTTCTACTTCTAAGCATCTACACACGAGAAATACTTGTATGAACAAAGAAGTAATGCTATACTGCAATACTGTAAAAGCAAAAAAAATATATAAAAGTACATCAGTAAACAGTGATTACCAATACTATGGACTACTACACAAAGTTAAGAATGAGGTTGAAGAAGATCTACATATAATGACAAGTAAAAAAAGCAAATTGTAGAAAAATATGTAAAGGAGCAATGCATCTCCATTACTTAGAAACACAGAAATGAATCCTGAAGGACACCCACGAAGCTGCTAACAGGCGAACTGTCTATGGAAGGCAGGGGAACTGGAGAGTTAGGCAGAGGCAAGAAGGGAAGAGGTTAAAGGGCACCTTACATTATATTATTTGAATGTTTAGAGATTTACTCATGTACCTGTGTTTTGTTTTGTGTTTTAAGTACTTGCCAAATAGCAGGACCTAATGACAGATCCTTACTCAGGCCCTGAAAAGGGAACTAGAAAAAACCCATCTTCTTTAAATGGAAAAGTATACAGGAATGGCAATCAGAGGTGCTGATGCTGCTAAAAATAATCAGCTACGGGCTTTAGATGAGTCACTCAATCTCTTAGTCTTGGTTTTCTCAACTGTAAAATAGGTAGTGGGGAATGATTTCTTTTCTAATCTTCCATCTAGCTCAGAATTCTAAGATATATTGAAGAATAACACCTAGTGAAGACAGAAATAACCTCTGAAAGGTCACCCTGATTCACATATATTTAGCTTTCAGATTTTAAGAGATACAGCAAATACTTAACACGATCAATACTGCTCATAGCAGTTTAGGAAAGCTACAAAAGGCAATTCACATTTCAGATGTTTCCTAGAAGTTTATTTCAATGTTTAAGATACACATTTGTTCTAATAATAATTATATTGTTCTGATAATAAGCCCTGACTGTCCTTAAAAAGAGAGATCAACTCTCTCCCATAGTTGGACACACTGAGCTCTAAACCAGCGGTCCCCAAATTTTTTTGGCACCCGGGACCGGTGCTACTAGGAGAATCTAATGCCTGATGATCTAAAGCAGAGCTGAGGTGGTGATGCTAGTGCTGGGAGCCGCTGCAAATACAGATGAAGCTTTGCTTGTTTG